GGTGCTTTGAGGGGACATCCTGTTATGAGGTGAACAGCCAGAATCCCCTAAACCCTAAACCCTAAAGCCTAAACCTAGAGCCGTTTAAATCCTTAGCGTGGCCAAAGGGTCGGCTTCTGTCGTAAGCTTCTCAGCTGAGGCCTCTTCGGGCTCTGCCTCCCTGGCTGCGACTGGGCTTTGATGGGTAGGGTTTAGGGTTTAGGATTTATGATTTAGGGCTTAGGGTTTAGGGATATAGGGGTAGATAGGGATAAAAGAAAATGGAAACTACAATTTAGTGTTTAAGGTTTAAGGTAAGTAAGGAACTTGAGCTAATTCAAGTTATTATGAGGGGAAGCCATATTACCTCCTATGTACCCATAGTAGAATGAGACCTCTTACAGCAGCCCAGATTCCTTGGTACAGAGGCTCTTGGACTAGGTTTGGGAGTTGGGATGTAGGGGTTTCGGGGCTCTGGGTGAGGGAGCCAAAAGAAGAATATATTGTTGCTTTATACAGGGCACTATATGAGGGAAGTTGCGGAGCTAATAGGAGGGCGGTTGCAGAGCTCTGTACATGAGCTATAGTCTCAACTCCTAGTATCCCCCTTAATAACCCATATAACAGTCCCGTATATATATATATATACATAACCCCTGAATAAACCCCTTTGTAAAGAGCGTAAAAAGTTTAAACTCTAGCTCATAGTATCCCCATGTAACATACAACTAAGTTGCAGATTCGAGAATAGGGAATAAGGGTCATTGGGCCTGGTGTCGGAGGCCTACTCCACGACGTACGACTTTTGCTGGGCTGGGTTCTGGGCTTCGCATCGTTGGAACGAGAGGGTCCAGAAGGAATCTGGCGTTAATAAGCTTGGTCCCGCATGTTTTTTTGCTACAGTGTGGGGGTTCCGAGATTGAGGGCCCCTTGTATTCGCAAATCTGAACTTCTTCCCTGCAATGTGGGTATCCTTGTCGAAAGCTGACCTAGAAGAATGCCTACATCCCTTGCCTCCGGGCCTGTTACTTGGGTACTTTCCCCGCCAAAAATCTTTCCAACCTTGCCCAGACTTTCTGGTGGCTAAAGGGGCGCGGTTAAAGTTTAGGGTTTAGGGATTAACGGATTAAGGTTTAGAAGGGATTCTGAGCCACTACTATAAGCTTCCACCCTAAACCCGAAACCCCCTGAACCCGAACTTACACACACACACACACACACACCTAAACCCTAAACCCTAAACCCTAAAACCCTAAACCTCTCTCTCTCTCTTGAGCACCGGTAAACCGAGGCCTGGTGGGCCGCTTAAGCGGCATCGTCTTGGCCTTACTTCTTGTTCAGTAGGGTTTAGGGTTTAGGGTTTAGGGTTTAGGGCGTAAGGTCATGTTCAATCTATACCTAGGGTGCCTTAGAGGCAA